TGCTTTTTAAATTCATTTTAAGGCTGGGGATGTTGCTTGGCAGTAGAGTGCTTACCTAGCATGTACATGGGCCTGAATTTGATCTCTAGCATTAGGGGGGACAAATACATCAGAGTTAATTATTTTAAAAGTATCTCTCTATGTGGTTTTCATCAAGTAAGGTACTTTGCAACTTCTTTTTTATACATTTGTTAATTTGTTAAACATGTAAATGAATATATGTAAGCATTTAACATATTTACATTTTAATAAGTATGAAATTAACATTTTTTAAAAGATTTTATTTTTTTAGTTGTAGTTGGACACACCTTTATTTTATTTATTTATTTTTATGTGGTGCTGAGGATCAAACCCAGGTCCTCGCATGTGTTAGGTGAGTGCTGTACTGCTAAACAACAACCCCAACCCTGAAATTAACATTTTAAATGATTAGTAATATTTGAAATTTCATTATGATTTCATATATGAGAAAAATATTTAAATTAAACACAATTTAATTGAAGTAAAGTAAATTCTAGTACTTTTCCTTCTGCCCCATTTTATAAATAATAGGCTAAACCTCATAGTGGATAATGGAAGGCTGTTGAGTTGCCAATCTAGGTGCACTTGGGAGCTGTTGTTCTGAGTATCTATACCAATTCCTCTTACTAATGTTTTTTTATTAAGAAAAAAGAGGCCAGTAGAATTTGGAACAAAAGGAAATTTGTTGTATTAATCGTTGCCACCTGTCTTTATTGGATAAGAGAGGGACTAGAGGAATGATATTTGTGTGTTTCTTATCAAAACCTTATTTCCTCTAGGAGGCTTTGTCAGTATTCCCAAGGCTGGCCCTTTCCACCTTCCTCCCTCTTGCTTTACTGCTCTGTTCCCTGTTAACTGTACTTAATTAACCAAGCAATGGGTGTCAATTGTTTACATTCTGCTTTATGTTATAGCCAAAATATTTTTTTAATGTTATACGGAAGAAGAACTAGGCTTTCTTGAATATGGTGGCAGAAGGAAGAACCAGGACATGACTATTCAGAATTAGGATTAGCTATTTAAGACCTTTCCAGGAATGCTGTAGTAAAACGTTGGACTGACTGACCTGTAAGGGTTGTTTATAGCCTTCACTATTGTATATTTATTTATTTTTCCTCGTTTGTCTCTTTCAGCTGTTACCTTAAAGGTTATAGTTCATATCTGACATACTGTAGTTTCTGTGTTATATTTGGGAGTGAATTCATTTCTCTTTGTCCTGTTCAAGACAATGTGCTGCTTCAATCTGCTGCTTCAAGTCTTCAATTCTGAAAAACTCTGTCTTTATCAATAGAGATTTTGCCTTTATTCCTCTCTGTTTTTCCTTCCAGTGTTCCTGTTAGCTCTCTGTTGGAGCCTCTCATTTTGTCTTTCTTTTCTTTCAACTGCTTTTTAGTATTTTTTCTCTCTTTATCTGTTTTTCATTCCTGTATCTGCTTTGCTGCCTAACTAGTACTTTTAATAATAGAAACAAAACAAAACCCCCCAAAACTACAGTCCAAATGTCCATCAATACATGAATGAAAAATACATTTGGTATAATGGCATAGGATACAGCAAAAAAAAAAAAAAGCTAATTGTAGCAATGTGTAACAACATTTGAGATGATTCTCAGAAAATAGTGGTAAGCAAAACTGTACAGAACTGAGTAATATGTTATTTAGAGCTATGCAGACATTTGTGGCCAAGTTGTGGAGACAAGCAAGGGAATAGTGAATAAAATTCATTTGGTGGCTACCTTAGAGAGGAAAGGAAGGTGATGGTTAAGTTGGGGTATCCAGGAGACTTCAAAGGCACTAGAAATGCTCTTTGTCTTGTACTGGGTCATGTTAAGTAAATGTTTTGTTGTGTCATTATTTTTAGCATACACATTTTATAATTTATTTTGTGCTTATTCAATATTAATAAAAACATTTTAAACATATGGGAGAGTTTAAATAGAATATACTTTGACAACAAATAAATACAACAGTTATCAGTATGATATCTTTTTAAAAAATATTTATTTTTTAGTTGTAGTTGGACACAACACCTTTATTTAACTTATTTATTTTTATGTGATGCTGAGGATCGAACCCAGGGCTTCGCCCGTGCTAGGCAAGTGCTCTACCGCTGAGCCACAACCCTAACCCCAGTATGATATCTTTGAAGAAATAAATTTACAGAATTTAGAATTAACTTATTATTGGGTTGTCATTTGATTTGTTAATAGTTTGAAGTATGATAATTTTGTTTTAAGATGTTAATTATGATGCATATTATTGTATTATTGTTTATAATAGAAAATATTACATAAAATTATTGTATTTTAGCCAGACGTGGAGGTGTACACCTGTAATCCTGGGTTTACAGAGAGACTGAGGCAAGAGATCACAAGTTCAAGGCCAGCCTGAACAATTTAGTGAGACTCTGTCTCAAAATAAAAAGGACTGGGGAGGTAGTTCGGTGGTGAAGCACCCCTGGATGCAGTCCACAGTACCATTAAAAAAAAAGTTGTACTTTAAACTAGTTTTAAAAACTAAATTGCAGTTTTCAAACAAATCTCTTATATTCATATCCTTATTTAGAATCTCCATGGTGACAGTTAAGCCCTCTGCTGTTTACTCTAGTGATTGACATTACAGCAGTCTGTGGAGTTAACTGTGTGATTATGTACAGCATAGGGTTACTTTAGGTTATTCTTTGAAAATGGGACTTCAAGCAAAGCATCTTGTATTCCTTTTGCAGAAATGTTGCTGAAGTGCTGCTGAAAGGGCCAGAGATACAAGGATTTGGGATATATTTTGAACCTTTAAGCTGTCTGACATTGACCTCCTTTCACTATTAATAAAGAAGAAGCAGGCGCTTAGGATGTATTAACACCAACTCATTAATATACTAACTGGACAATGTTCTGCGAACAATTCTACATTGTAAAGAACTGGATTGGCACAAAATAAAATAATTTTATATTTTACTCAGCTTATAATATGACTCGATGGAGGAAAATTTGATAAGCATGAGGGAAGACCATTCTTTTCATGTTCGTTACAGGTAAGACTATTCCTTTCTTAGTGGATGACTTTTAGTCCTTAAACATGAACTCTGAATTTATTTCAATTTGAAAATATTCAAAATATACCAGTAACAGTATCTTCTGTAAGCAATGTTTTCTTTTTGTTGGGATGGTTTCAAGTTTTTGTACATTTTCTATAGGAAAATGATAGCAGAGACCCATTATGTACTATAATTTGTTCATTAGTGTTCTCTGAAAGAGTTTATGAGTAGTTACTTTATATTTTATAATTTTTATGCAACACAAATATTAACATTGAGTATATTTTAAATATTCGGAGGATAAAAGATGGCTTTTTTATGTTGCCAGCTAAAGGACCAGTCTGTTGTGTTATAATTTTTAAATGGCAATCTCTCATAAATGCCTTTTTAAACAAATGAGTATTGAATGAAATTCGAAAGGGTGGGTATGTTCTAAACATGACCAATCTATAGACAGTTTAACATTTAGTGATAACATATTAGTGATGTTTCTGATATAATAGGAACAAAGTAAGCATATATGTACTATCATTATTGTTTAACATTTATTCTGGAAGTTCTGTCCAAACCATAAAATAAAAACAAACAATGATTTAGTAAGGTGATTGCATAATAGGTAATTCTTTTTTTAATATTTTATTTTTTAGTTGTAGATAGACACAATATCTTTATTTTTTATTTTTATGTGGTGCTGAGGATTGAACCCAGGGCCTCGCATATGCTAGGCGAGCACTCTACCGCTGAGCCACAAACCCAGCCCAATAGTTAATCGTTTATCAAAACTATTACAAGTTAATGAAACAGACACGGGAATTTTGTATCAATGAGTAAAATTCAGAATCTAGGAGTGAAGGTGTTTTGCTACGAAATCTTAGATTCCTTAACGTATGTTTAGGAAGGAGTGAAGAGATCATCTTGTGGAGTAGATTGTTCATGTTAGGCCATCATGCCAAGGAAGTTTATATGGTCAAGGTAAAGACATTTCTGTTAAAAATTTTTAAAAATTCAAGTGAAGAATGGAAGATATTCAATATAAGATGAGCTTTTAATATCAAATGCCTTCACCCTTTCCTTTAGGACAATTTTCTTAAAACCTGAGCCTTCCTTCTCACTCTCTGTATCCATCATGAGGTGTTAACAGTTTTGACTGCCTTAAATGTTTGTCATGTTCATCTGTTCATCTGCATCCTCTCCACTATTGCTGTAGTTCAGGTCTCCAGGATCTTCCCTCCAGACTGCCTTGTTTTCCATTCTTATCCTCTTGGAAGAGGGCTCAGTCTAAAGAGCTAACCATGCATCCTCTCTGCTTAATGCCCAAGGTGACCTTAATCACCTGTAGGGCAGACCTAGGCTTACCATAATATACAAGATCTTCCATTACTTGACTTCTACCTGTTCCATAGACTTTATTTTCTGCCATTCTTCACCTTGTATTTGAGCTGTTTCTTTGCATGTTACACTGTCTCATGTTACACTATCTCAGGGCTTTGCTTTCATTTATGCTACACTCCATCACCTGAATTCCCTTCCCATTTCTTTCTTTAACTAATTCTACTGAATATCTAAGATTCAGCTCAGAGGTTATCTCCTCCTGGAAACCATTTCTAAATGCCATAGTTTGACCCTCCCTGTGCTCACATTTTGCCTTTGCACATCTGTTTGTTAGCACCAACTACATTAAAATTCAGTATGTTTTTACCTCTTTGCCGCTCTCTTTGACTGTTAGCTCCACAAGGCAACCTTTATGCTTAGCATATTGTCTGATACATGTCCATTGAACTTTATTGGACATAACTCATATGAACCACTAAGATGTTTTCTGCGTTTTGAACATTTCGAAGAATGGTGTGCTTAAGGAGGAATGGATTGTACCTCTTCCTATAGGAGGATCTTAGATTTGTCCTTTTGCCATGATACAGCACAGGTCATACATGGTTGCACATTGCTGCTATGGGACTTCATCAAGGGAAACTTAAAAATCTGTAACTTTTTTTTTTTAATTAGAAAGAATATCCCCAACAAATCCCTGGCTTCATCAGTGTTCTTAAGATCCAGCCATATATTGATTGCATTGTTGTATAATTGTGAATAATGATTTGAGCTCTTTATATTAGATCATGACCTAGTATAAGTTACCCTTCTACTCTAGCATAGTATGTTTTATCCATTGGTTCTTTCGTTGTAGAGGTCCTCATCTATCCCTGAAGGAGTTTCCATGGTATGATGAGTTTGTAATTTTGTAATTGAATATATCCTTGAACACTAAGAAACTTTCTGAGAGATACCAGAATGCTTTATGAAATATTTTGCACCTATTTGGGAAGGTAGATGCTGATAACTAATGGAATTCGTTTCTAAACTTTTCAAAAACTTATTGAAAGGGGGTGAACCCAGGGGCACTTTACCACCGAGCTATAGCCCCAACCCTTTTTATTTTGAGACAGCCTGGCTTCAAGTTTACTATCCTCCTGCCTCAGTCTGCCAAGTTTTTAGGGTTATAGGTGTGTGCCACCACATCCAGCAGATATTATTTTTATGATTATGATTATTAATATTTTTGTGGTGCTAGGGATCTAACCCAAGGCCTCTGTGATGCTCTCCTGCTGAGCTCTACTCCCAGCCCTATATGATTGATTTTAAGGAATTATTAATTATTTAGGTGTGATAATGGTATTATAGTATTTTTCTCCCCCAAAAAAGACTCATCTCTCTGGAATGTACTTCCAGATAATCTGGGTTGGAGGAATGAGGATGAAATTTATATTGATAGGGCTTGGGATGTGGCTCAAGTGGTAGCGCGCTCGCCTAGCATGAGTGCGGCCCGGGTTCGATCCTCAGCAGCACATACAAACAAAGATGTTGTGTCTGCTGAAAACTAAAAAATAAATATTTAAAAAAAAATTCTCCCTCCCTTCCTCCCTCCCTCCCTCTCTCTCTCTCTCTCTCCCTCTCCCTCCCTCTCCCTCTCCCTCTCCCCCCTCTTTCTTTAAAAAAAAAAAAGAAATTTATATTGATAGTATGATACATGTTGGTAATTGCTGACCTTGAAAGATGGATACATCATTGGTTCATTATGCTAGCTTCTCCAGTTCTTTATTTATTTGGGACATGTCATACTTATTACTATGTATGATAATCATTTTAACACTTTAATGTTGTTGTAAAACTGAAATGGTTGCACAAAGCTTTTTGTGCAAAGGAAATATAATTGTAAAGAAGGTAAAATTTTGGTATTGAATTCTTTAACTTACTAGATAAATGTAGTTATCAGTTATATTATTTTCTGAAGAATAGTTTGAGATAATATTGTAGAAAGAGCACTGGATTCAGACACAAAGAAAAAAAATTTCATTTCTCAACTTTGCCATTACCAGATCTTAATCAGGTCACTTAACCTGTCTGAGCATCAATTTTCCCTTCTGTAATTATACCTATCTCAGAGCTATTTTGAAAATTAAATTTGATATGTGTTAAGATCACGTTTAAAACTCAGTTGCCATGTAAAATTTAAATCTAGATAATTTATGCTACTTTTTCTTTCACAAAATAAACTGGAATAGCTGGATATACATGGTAAATTGAATGGATGAAAATTGTTTATTGGAGTAAGGACTGGTGATGGAAAAGGCCTGTGCCCAGTTAGAACACATTGAAGATAGAGCTAAGGTTTATGAGAGGAGATTTCATATTGGGGAGATGGAGAGTACTCTTGTTTTGGATTTTAAGTCCTGAATCCTATCATTTATTCTGAAATAGCATGTATGTCTTTTGAGGGGAGAGTCATATTTGGACATAATTGCTGTTATTAACTCTTTTAAAGTGATGTAGCATCAGAATTTTAATCCTGTTTCTCTCCACTAATGGTGCTGTGAACACAAGAAACCAAAATTAAGGAGGTAAAGAAAGTTGTGAAGGTCAAATCTATTGTGGAATAAAAGTTTAAGAAAATATTTTTTAAAGAAATGGAAATAACAAGGACTTGTACAGAAACTTAGGAATCATACCTAAAATATTCAATCCATTATTAGCAAAAATGAAAACATTTCAATCAAGGATAGTAATATTTATAGATATTATAAATAGTTTCTTTGATTATACAGTTAGGCCATCAGATGAGTAGAAGAAACTTTGTATGTGATATATATTTTCATGGAGAGCTTGTCATGTGTGTGGTGCTGGGGATCAAACCTAGGGCTACACAAGTGGCCCACCACTGAGCTACATCCTTAGCCCTCCTAATTCGTCTTCCACATTTAGGTATGTTCTTTATTTTCAACCCAACTGGTAAATAAATTAAGTAATTCTATCATAGTTACAGAGAGGATATGAATTACTTTCTCCATTACTATTTAATGATGATCTAAAGAATTCATAAGCTAGCCTGCCCTATTTTGATTGAGTTGAGGATTTTGCCAGAATATTGACTTCTTTTCTAATAAAATGTACTAGAGTCATAATATATCTCAGAGTTAACAATAACTGAGGGAGTTTTAGACTGTTTCAGGCATTACTGAAATAACTTTTTGTCTTTTTAATTTTTCGTCTTTATCCATGGAGTTAGAGGACTGTGTGTAGCCAGTAGAGTTCTAGTTGGAATTTCTAATGACAAATATGTAAAAATGTGTAACTCTTGGTGGGGAGGTAGGTTGGTGGCAGAGTGCACGTGCAAGGTTCTAGGTTTAATCCTCTTCCCTGAAAAAAAGAAAGTGAAAAACTACACACACTCCCAACCAAAAAAAAAAAAAAAAAAAAAAACCCAATCCCAAAAAACAAATGGAAAAGTCATAAAGATGCTGAAGAAACACAGTGACAACTTTGGTGAAGGTCACCATCTGAAGTTTAGAATTAGAATCAGAAGTATGGTGTTTTTTTCCTCACAGATATATTTACAGTAACTCAGCTTTTATGATGTTTTCAATTCAGGGATAGACTTTGGGGATTAGAATTTCTGCATATCATTAAATTATTGCTTTCAGACTAACAAATTTCTTAACACTTAGTTCTTTTGTGAAAGTGTGCCATAAAGATTAAGATATTTTGCTCCTCTATTTTTTTTAGAATATAGGTGGTTTTGTGTGATACAAAAAGGAAGGAGAGTGTATGTAAGACAGAAAGGGAGAGTATTTGGATGGACAGTGGGTGGGGTTGATGAGCAGATGAATGGGATATCTGGATAAAGTATGGTATTAATTATAGCCCCTCACCTTCTCAGGCACTCTGTATTCTTCCCAAACTCTCAAGAAGTCCATCGGTCTGCCACAATTCAGTAATTTAGGAAACACTGCTTTAGGTTCTTTCACTGGTAAAGAGTGGGTTGGTTCAGATTGGCCAATTAAAATGAGCTCCATATGAAGATATTTAGCTGTCCATTATAACAGACTGCTGAGCCTCAGAAATTTAAATAAACAAATAAGCTCTTGCTGTATAACTGCTGTTTTATCAGTAATGTCTATATGCTTCAATTAGGTAACTAGTTTGAGTAAGAGTAGTCACATAGTCCATGTGTAAATTATATTACTGGAAGTTAAAAACACTGTGATGTAGTAGTTGTGTTGTAAATGTCTGTCCTATATAATTTTGTAGAATGGAAGCTTCTTGCCTAGAGCTGGCCTTGGAAGGGGAACGGCTGTGTAAATCAGGAGACTGCCGTGCTGGTGTGTCATTTTTTGAAGCTGCAGTTCAAGTTGGAACTGAAGACCTTAAAACACTTAGTGCTATTTACAGCCAGCTGGGTAATGCTTATTTCTATTTGCATGATTATGCCAAAGCATTGGAATACCACCATCATGATTTAACTCTTGCAAGGTAATTAACTTAAGTTTCTTAATATTCTTCCTCCCTAAAATAACTGTCACTTTAAAAAATTTCCAGTCAATTAAAGAAAAACTAACAATACATTTAATAAATTCTAGTTTAATAGCATTGATTTTTGAAAACTAATGTTTAGGCTAAACACAGAGTTTAATTAAATGAATAAATAGTAATGAAATGACCCTAGAGTTTAGTTAAGTGAATGAAAATTAATTTAAATTGAGAAATGTTAAGTTTCAAATTTTTATTTAAAGTAGGTTTCAAGGCTAATAGCTTTTTCTTGCATGTCTGTTGTCCTCTAGGAAACCTGTACTCAGGCTGCTTTACATTTTAACACCATTTATATTAACACCATTTGCTTCTCTCTCTTCACTCCCAGGACTATTGGAGACCAGTTGGGAGAAGCCAAAGCTAGTGGCAATCTGGGAAACACCTTAAAAGTTCTTGGGAATTTTGATGAAGCTATAGTTTGTTGTCAGCGACATCTGGATATTTCCAGAGAGCTTAATGACAAGGTAATGAGAGAACAGTTGATAATAGGCCAAGTGCCAAAGAGTTTCAATGAAATTGCTTTGTGTCTTAATATTGTTTATACTGTAGTTTATGTAAAAAAGAAAATATTCAGCTAGGCATGGTGGTGCACACCTGTAATCCCAGTGAGGGGAGGCTGAAGCAGGAGGATCACGAGTTCAAAGCCAGCCTCAGCAAAAGCGAGGCACTAAGCAACTCAGTGAGATCCTGTCTCTAAATAAAGTACAAAAATAGGGCTGGGGATGTGGCTTAATGGTTGAGTGCTCCTGAGTTCAATCCCTGGCACACACCCCCCCGCTCCCGCAAAAAAAAAAAAAAAAAGAAAAAGAAAAAATATTCATAGACAAATAGAAGTGAAAAGAAGACAATAAAATTTTTTAAATAGAGTAAATAGAAAGCCTTTTCATAAGTAATTGTTTGATTTCATATGGATGATCAATGTAGAAATTTCTACCCAAGACTATTACAAATATATGTGGTAAGCATTATCAATACCCAGTCTCTGTTTAAATGTCAACTTTGCTGATGTCTTCATGTAGGTGGGAGAGGCAAGAGCACTTTACAATCTTGGAAATGTGTATCATGCCAAAGGGAAGAGTTTTGGTTGCCCTGGTCCCCAGGATGTTGGAGAATTTCCAGAAGAAGTAAGAAGTGCTCTGCAGGCAGCTGTGGATTTTTATGAGTGAGTATGGCTGATGCAGATAGGGCCCATCTTGGCCAGGGGTACACTACACGTTCTTTACCCAGTAGTAAGTTTTGGGCATTGGAGAAGATAATGCTAAGTGAAGTGAGCCAATCCCAAAATAACTAACAATACATTTAATGAATTCTAGTTTAATAGCATTAAAATTAAATGCCAAATGTTTTCTCTGATATAAGGAGGCTGACTCATAATGGGGTAGGGAGGAATAGATGAATTCTAGATAGGGCAGAGAGGTGGGAGGGAAAGGGAGGGGGCAGGGGATTATCAAGGATGGTGGAATGTGATGGACATCATTATCCAAAGTACATGTATGAAGACATTGGTGTCAACATACTTTATATACAATCAGAGATATGAAAAATTGTGCTGTAAACATGCAATAAGAATTGTAATGCATTCCGCTGTCATTTATTTTTTTAAAAAATCAACAAAAAATAAAAATAATAAAATAAATATTTTAAAATTATGGACTAGCAAATAAAAATAAATCATCAAATCAATTGCTTAAATATGAGTGTTGTATTAGTAATCTGCAGTTTTCATTTAAACTGCAGACCAGTGCCCCTTAGTGGCAAAAACAAGAAATATCAATGGTTAGTCTAAATTGGAGTGTTTCCAGCTAACCCCTGTAATTATCCTCCATTATAAATGTATTAAAAATATCATAGCTATAAGCTTAAATTCTTCTTTTGATACAATTAGTTATATCTGTAAATTGAACAATAAGAACTTCTTTTCAAACTGATTTAAATTCTTCTTTTGACATAACTAGATTTGTAAATTGAACAATAAGAACTTCTTTCCAAACTGATTTTTTTTTTTAAACCACTGTTTGTTATCACTTAGGGAAAACCTATCATTAGTAACTGCTTTGGGTGACCGAGCAGCCCAAGGACGAGCCTTTGGAAATCTTGGAAATACACATTATCTCCTTGGCAACTTCAGGGATGCAGTTATATCTCATGAGCAGGTATAAACAAAAGATCCTGGAGTCTGATCATTTCATCCATCAAAGTTCTAACTTGAGTTAGAATATTTTGCAGTTTTATTATGACTATATCTAATTAAACTTTTTTTTTTCAGCGCCTCCTTATTGCAAAAGAATTTGGAGATAAAGCTGCTGAAAGAAGAGCGTATAGTAACCTTGGAAATGCATATATTTTTCTTGGTGAATTTGAAACTGCTTCTGAATACTACAAGTTAGTCTAATATTTCTGCAGCTAAATATCAAATGAGTAGTTATGTAGTCCTTTAAATCATAGGCTTTGGGTTTTTTTTATCATTTATTTTTTATTATTGGTTGTTCAAAATATTACAAAGCTCTTGACGTATCATATTTCATACATTTGATTCAAGTGGGTTATGAACTCCCATTTTTACCCCGTTTACAGATTGCAGAATTACATCAGTTACACATCCACATTTTTACATATTGCCATACTAGTGACTGTTGTATTCTGCTGCCTTTCCTATCCTCTACTATCCCCCCTCTCCTCCCCTCCCATCTTCTCTCTCTACCCCATCTACTGTAATTCATTTCTCTCCCTTGTTTTTTTTTTCCCTTTCCCCTCACATCCACTTATATGTAATTTTGTATAACAATGAGGGTCTCCTTCCATTTCCATGCAATTTCCCTTCTCTCTCCCTTTCCCTCCCAAGGCTTTGGGTTTAAAGCTTCATTTAGCTACATACTAGCAGCAGGACCCTGGGCTTCCAAGCCTCAGTTCCTTCATGTGTAATAGAAGATGTCAGTACTTTGATTTGTGAATTGCTGAGGAGTGAATGAAAAATGTATTAAACTCTTAGCATGGTACCTGGCACACAGGGCTCAATAAATAATATTATACCTAAGATTTAATAGTCCCAGTACGACCCCTTTTATTTTTATTAGATTTTATTTTTAAAACTAGTTTTTTTTAACAGAGAGAGGGAGAGAGAATTTTTTAATATTTATTTTTTTAGTTTTTGTTTGTATGTGGTGCTGAGGATCGAACCCGGGCCGCACACATGCCAGGCGAGCGCGCTACCACTTGAGCCACATCCCCAGCCCCAAAACTAGTTATTTTTAAATGAAATTCTAAACTTCCAAGTCTTAAACCCATTTTACCATGTATGGTGAGTATATCTTATTTCACCCACTTATGTGTTGGAAGAGAGGCTGAAGAAGGCCTGGTAACAAAAATACCCCCTCATGCCCACCAGATCTCACTTAGTTTTCCCTCTCACCCCACCTTCTCAGCATTCTTCTTCCCACCTCTTTCTGCCCAATTTTGATTCTCAGTGGGCTGGGACCCCATTCATCTGCCTGGGGGTTGACAGTCCCAGCTTCTTCTGCAGCAGGGTCTTTCTAATCAGTCAGTAGGCTTGAAACATAGATGGCAGCAAAATTTAAATTGCTTCAAGTTGCCTAGTCTATGCCTTCTATATTGTTTGGGGTTTTCCTTAGTTGGGTTTGAAAGCTCATTCAGACCTCAGGCAGAATACAGTTTGCTGAACCAAAGACACAGTGATTGATTTGTATTGTATTTTTAAAGAATCCAGTGGGAGGAAATTGATACTCAGAGAGGTTGAGTGACTTGTCCTAAATTACACAGCTGGCAAAGGTAGGATTTGAACCTAGATAGTCTAATGGTAAGATCCATGCTTTTTTTGGGGGGCGGGGGGTACCAGGGATTGAATCTAGGGGTGCTTAACTACTGAGCCACATCCTCCCAGCCCATTTCATGTTTTATTTTGAGATGGGGTTTCACCAAGTTGTTCAGGGCCTCACTAAGTTGCTGAGGCTGGCTTTGAACTCATAATCTTCCTGCCTCAGCCTCCCAAATCACTGGGATTACCGACACATGCTGCTGCAGCCAGCTAGGATCCGTGCTCTTGACTGCTTTATGTTAGCTTCTTGGTGACAATACCAGAATGTTAGGTACAATCTGGGTAAAGAAGGCCTGGTAAGGGCTGGGGATGTGGCTCAAGCGGTAACGCGCTCCCCTGATATGCACGGGGCACTGGGTTCGATCCTCAGCACCACATAAAAATAAAATAAAGATGTTGTGTCCACCAAAAACTGAAAAATAAATATTAAAAAATTCTCTCTCTCTTCCCCCTCCCCCCCCTCTTTCTCTTTAAAAAAAATTATTAAAAAAAAAAGAAGGCCTGGTAACATAATCTGGGTAGTATTTAAGTGAAATATCCAGTATTTTTTATAAAACAGTGACAAATGACTTACACATACTAATTTTACCCAAATATTTAAAATTTTGACAAAATGTAAGGTCAGAAGTATGATTGAAAACAGATGTTATATGAAAAAAAAAAGTTTAAGTTATTGCCAGTATAAAGGGGAAAGATTTTTTCAATGTTAAAAGTACTGCCAGTCTTTAGCAGCACTTGATCTCATGTTTCATTACTCCTTTACTTTGGTGAATTGTGAGGAGTAAGTTTATTCTGAAAGTCTGAATCTGTTTTTTGTATTTCAAAAACATTTTAGTTTGTTTAAAAGTGATGAAAAGGTTTGAAATATTTGGCTCTAAAACAAATGTACTTGAAAAGCAGCAGAAAACAGTAGAGAGAAAAAATGAGTTTTGTTTTATTATAATAGCTAAAACTAAACATCATTAAGTGAAAATTAACTTCCTCTTTTAGGAAGACACTACTATTGGCTCGACAACTTAAAGACAGAGCTGTAGAAGCACAGTCCTGTTATAGCCTTGGAAACACATATACTTTACTTCAGGACTATGAGAAGGCCATTGATTATCATTTGAAGCATTTAGCAATTGCTCAAGAGCTAAAAGATAGGTAAGTTATTCACCCTTTTACTACAGTTAAGGCAAAATTTAGATGCATTATTGAATTCCAAGAATTTTTTTTCCATTTGTTTCCTTTTTAAGGAATTTTCTATTTCATGTATCTTCTGTATTGAAGGCCAGCTTGTAAATTAGTCTGATTGCATGTGCCCCTGAGCAGGGTCAGTGACCTGCCTCCTGTGAAGTTCTCCTGACTAGATCAGTGTGGGAAGTTTGGTGAACTTGGATAAATGCCCACTGTCCAGGGGCAGCTGCTGCTCAACCCCAGCCAATCAGTACCAGACAGAAAGGAAGGTATCATGTCCAGATCCTCCCCTTTTTTTCAGAAGAAGCTGGAAGTCCTGTGTTGTATTTTCTGCTTTTTAAATGTTAGTGACTCTGTGTTAATGCAAATATCACAGACCAAAGGCCAACGACTTATCTGTGTTAGCCTTTTGTCTGTGATGTTTGCATTGAGAGATTTTTGCCTCTGTATTGGAAAGAACTTTTCATTACAGTTGTTCAGAGTGAAGTATGGTAGGTAGCTCAAGAGGTCATGGAGTTTACTTTCCTTGCTGCTCAAACATGTACTGAATGGTTACCTGGTAAGGCCACTAGAGAAAGAAAAGTGAGCAGTTGGACTAGAAGACTTAACTCTTGAGATTTTATTATTTTATAGTGCATTGCATGTTTAAAAAGCATGTTTTCCAGTATTCTTGACTGGAATAGTATTTGATTCTTGAGTTTTGTATTACCTGGGTATTCTAATATCTCAATAGTACATTCTTAATATGAAAGACAAAGCATTATTTATACTATTGCTAGATCATTTTTATTCTATACACAGACCTCTTTTCAGATAACTACATGTTGGCTTTGAATTGTTTTAGAATTGGTGAAGGAAGAGCATGTTGGAGCTTAGGAAATGCATACACAGCTCTAGGAAATCATGATCAAGCAATGCATTTTGCTGAAAAGCACTTGGAAATTTCAAGAGAGGTATGAAATAGAAAAAAAAAAATTCTATCTGTACTGTTGAAATTTACAAATCAGTGGCAGGGGGAGGGAATCTTATTATTTCTTCAGATTGCTCTATATGACTGAATAATAAGTTTGATTATACACTGTTTTCTTGGCATCCACAAAGCATTTTGAGATAGAGATCTGAGGTAGTTTGTGTTCACCTTGATGTAGGAAAACCGGAAGGTAAGGACAGGCATGGGGAAATAGGAGCACATTACTAAAATATGCTCCCTCCCTAGACCCATCTCTATTTAAGAAAAATAGGATGGTATTTAAGGAAAAGCAAGGTGTTTAAAATCAAGAACTGATTCCAGTTATACTTTTGCCACTAGCTGGCTAATTGACCTGGAAACCTTTTCTGAGCCTCATTTCTGTCATCTTAAAATAATAATAATACTACCTTGCAAATTGTTATTATTAGAGATAATATATATAAAAGTAACTAATAATATATAGTACTAGGTGAATAAAATTCACTATTGTAGTATAAAAATAAAATATTTTAAGGAAAATTTGTCATGTGATGCTAAGTTAATATGGCATAAATAACCTACATTATTTAATGTAATCCTAAAGAATTAGAGCAATCTAATATTTAGAGACCTAAAGAATAAATAGACTATAGTTAATTGTCCTATTGTGATATTTTTTAAATTTGCTGTTTTTTTCTACATTCTTTTAAAAAGCCAGGTGTGTTAGTACATGCCAGTAATTGCAGCAGCTTCGGAGGCAGAGGCAGGAGGATTGCAAGTTAAAAGCCAGTAATTCAGCAACTTAGCAAGGCCTTAAGCAACTTAGCAAGATCCTGTCTCAAAATAAAACATAAAAAGGGCTGGGGATGTGGCTCAATGGGTAAGCACCCCTGGTACCAAAAAACTCACAAAATGATTGAGATACCCATTGCATTCATTAATAGTCTCATAATTCTAATATAGCTATTTTCACTTCTTTATATTTTCTTCTAGTTTTAGGGTCACAACATTTTCAATTAGTCATCATTCTTTGTCTTTAAATAGTACTATAAAATATATGTGCTTGTGATTGTAGGTTGGAGATAAAAGTGGTGAACTAACAGCACGACTGAATCTCTCAGATCTTCAAATGGTTCTTGGTCTGAGTTATAGCACAAATAATTCCATAATGTCTGAAAATATTGAGATTGATAACAGTTTATATGGTAAGTAACAGGTCTTCCAAAACCCAGTTTCTTTATACTCAAAATTTACATTTAAATTACTTATCATACTTGTGTATTGTATCCAGAGAGAATATATAATCTAAGAAGTTCAACTTTTTACCCCTTTTTTGTTTTACATAGTTCTGCTCATTTGTCAGTACAAAATATTTTATAGTTTTTATCATGAATTTAAAAATGTTAAAAGTATAGTTATTTTTGATGGTATATGCCTGTAATCCCAGCAGCTCGGTAGGTTGAGGCAGGATGATCATGAGTTCAAAGCCAGCCTCAGCAACTTAGTGAAACCCTGTCTCAAAATTTTTAAAAAATATAAATAAAAAGGACTGAGGATGTTGCAGAGTGGCTAAGTGCCCCTGGGTTCAATCCCTGGTACCAAAAATAAAAATAAATAAATAAAATAGATTTAAATGTTGTATCTATAGAGTCATTCAAAAAATAATATGAAGATACCGAAACGGAAATGTTCTATTTTATTGTTTTTATTTCAAATAGTTTTATATATCAGATTTTTGTTTGGTTCTTTTTCCCCCATTTCAATTAAAAGGTGAAAGCTCTTGGAATTTTTTAATTCAGGAAACTTAATAAACTTTGTTGTTGGGATGGGGGGGGTGTTGGTAGCAGCAAAACTTGTTTCTAGGAGACTATCTTTCAGTGCTGATTTGGTCAGATATTTCTACGGGGAGAAATGTGCCAGAATATCTCTATTTCTGAAAGAAAAAAATTTTTTTTAAAAATAGTATGCTTTAAAATATTTGTTTTTGTTAGTTATACATGATAGTAGAATGTATTTTGACATATTATACTATATGATACATACATATTATACATATTGTACATGTTATAAATATCGTATACGATGTAGAATTACATTGGTCATGTAATCAAATATGCACAAAGGCTAGTAATGTCCAATTCATTCTACTCTTTCATATTCCCATTCCCCCCCACCCCTGCCTTCATTCCCCCTTGTCTAATCAGAAGTACTTCTTTTCTTCCCTAACCCACCCCCTTATTGTGAATTTGCATCTGCATATCAGAGAAAACATTTGGCCTTTGATTTTTTGAGATTGGCTTATTTCACTTAGTATCTATTCTCTAGTTCTGTCCATTTACTGGCAAATGCCATACTTTCTTCTTTATGACCGAGTAATATTCCATTGTGTATATATACCACATTTTCTTTATCTGTTAATCTGTTGAAGGGCACCTAGACTGGTTCCATAGTTTAGCTATTGTGAATTGAGCTTCTATAAACATTGGGGTGACCATGTCACTGTAGTATGCTGATTTTAAGTCCTTTGGGTATAAACAGAGGAGCGGGATAATTGGGTCAAATGGTGATTCCATTCCAAGTTTTCTGAGGAATATCTATACTGCTTTCTGTAGTGTTTGCACCAATTTGCAGTCCCACCAGCAATGTATGAATGTACCTTTTTCCCTACGTCCTCACCAACATTTATTGTTGCTTCTATTAATAATTGTCATTTTGACTGGAGTGAGATAAAATCTCAGTGTAATTTTTTTTTTTGCGGTGCTGAGGGTTGAACCCAGGACCTTGTGCATGTGAGGCAAGCGCTCTGCCAACTGAGCTATATTCCCAGCCCCTCAGTGTAGTTTTAATTAGCATTTTTCTAATTGCTAGAGATGTTGAACATTTTTCATATATTTTGTTGACCAATTGTATTTCTTCTGTGAAGTGTATATGTGGTTCTGAGAATTGAACCCAGTGCCTCATACATGCTAGGCAAGCACTCTAACACTGAGCTACAACCCCACCCCAACCCCCTTTTTTTATGGTACTGGGGAATGAACTCAGGACCTCATATATGCTGGGTAAACTCTCTATCACTGAGCCAATCCCCAAACCCAAAATCTACTTTTGATTACATAAATTAAAGGAGACAAGATGAGAATCACATTTTTAAATTTACCACATTTTTGTGACTGTGAAATAATTTTTAAAATATGGATTATAAGCTTGAAACATTTGCAATCTGAAAAAAAATCACTGACACAAATATCTAGCTTTTATCTTTCCAGTTTTTTTCTCTTAGTTCTACATAGAGAAAAGGATAAAAGGAAAAGAAATTAGTAGCTAGTCATCTGATTGGGACTTTCCAAAACCTTTGGTGAAAAATTCTGAAGTGTAAACCGTATAATAAATTAAAACTATGCTTTGTAATTGAATAATGTGCTAAAAGGTTTTCCTGTGTTTAACTTTCATTTAGGTTATGCTAGAAGAGCTCTTCTAAAATTATCACTTATTCTCATGGACTTATCTAGCTAGAGACCTATTCCTTTGTTTCCTTTTATAACAAAACTTGGAAAAGATCCCAGTGTTCCCTTTCTTTCTGGAACCCACTCCACTCAAACTCTGGCCTCATTCAAGGTTACCAGAAACCTCCATTTTACCAAATACATGCATCAGTTTTCAGATATCAGTTTACTTGATTCCTCAGCAGTTATTTCCTACAGCTGATCATTTCTACCTCAAAATAACTGTCTTTCTCTGGCCTCCATGATTATTCTACTTTTCTGGTTTTCTTTACTCATTCTCTCCCTTCATCTTTTCATCTTTTAAATTTGTAATGTTCAAGGTTTCAATTTTTGGACCTTTTCTCCCTCTTTCCTCTTTTCTTTCCCTCCCTATTATTCATCTATCTATGCTTCTTTCTGCTTTTATCCTTGTTTTTTCTATTCTATGCTCTAGGTTGGTGCTTCCAAGAAAACTTTTTTTGATGACAGAGAAGTTCTATATCTGTGCTGTCCAATATAATAGCCACTAGCCACATATAGCACTTGAGCATTCAAACTGTGGTTCATGCAAGTGAGGAAATCAGTTTACCTTTCCCTTCCTTTTTGGTAATGGGGATTTAATCCACGGATGCTTTATAACTGAGCTACAGCTCTTTTTATTTTGAGAAAGGGTCTCACTAAGATGCTAAGAGCTTCCCTAAATTGCTGAGACGGGCCTTGAACTTGGAATCCCCCTGCCTTACTGAGATTACAGGCATGCGCCACTGCACCTGGCTAATTGCTTAATATTATTCATCTTGAATTAGTTAAAATGGAAAAATCCATAAGTAGATCATTAAACAGCATAACCTCTAGATGATCTCATTCACTTGTTTCTCTTCTATATAGTTTATATGCTGATTTCATTTTTTTTTAGAGAAAGAGAGAGAATGAATTTTAATATTTATTTTTTAGTTTTCGGCAGACACAACATCTTTGTTTGTATGTGGTGCTGAGGATCGAACCTGAGCCGCACGCATGCCAGGCGATCGTGCTACCGCTTGAGCCACATCCCCAGCCCCAGTGCGCTGATTTCAAATTCATGTTTTCAGCCATAATTTCTCTCTTGAGTTTGATACCCATATAATTATAACATTTTCGCTTGAATGTTTATTTGGAATATAAAACTTAACATGTCCAAAATGTGTTCCCTCCACACACACTATCCTGTCTACTCCATCTGAGGCAATGGCACCACTATTCACTCCCATGTTCAGGACAAAAAAAGCATCCTTGTTCCCTAATTTCTACAGCCAACCTGTTAGAAACCCTGCCTTCAAGTGTATCTCTAATCAACCATGTGTACCGCAACAGTCTTAGTACATACTGCCAAAGTCTCCAGGAGAATTGTTTTTCTTACTTCCAGTTATAATCCCTCATGCCTAAATTTTCCAACACAATAGCTAAAATACTCCTTTAAAATGTAAATCACTGGAGCTGGGCATGGTGGCGCACGCCTGTAATCCCAGTGGCTCAGGAGACTGAAACAGTTCAAAGCCAGCCTCAGCAAAAGCGAGTTGCTAAGCAACTTGTGAGACCCTGTCTCTAAAAAAAAAAATACAAAATAGGGCTGGGGATGTGGCTTAGTGGTTGAGTGCCCCTGAGTTCAATCCCCTGTACCCTCCCCACTCCCCAAATGTAAATCATTTCACATACAGTGGCACAGGGCTATAATCCCAGCTATTCAGGAGGTGGAAGCAGGAGGATCACAAATTCAAGGCCAGCCTGGGCAACTTAGTGAGACCCTGTCTGTCTTGAAAAATAAAAAGGGCTGAGATGTAGCTCAGTAATACTGGGTTTAATCCCCAGTATCACACACACACATAGTAAATTATGTCATTTGTTCCTCTGTTCTAAACCCTCCAGTGACTTCCCATTACATCCAGAACCAAGTCCTCAGTCCTCACAGTGATTAAAAGGCCTTCTATAATACCCTTCTGTAGATGAATGGATAGGGAAACTGTGGTATATATACACATAGGAATATTACTCACCATTAAAAGAGAACAAAATCATGGCATTTGCAGGTAAATGGATGGAGTTGGAGAATATTATGCTAAGTGAAGTAAGCCAGTCCCAAAAAACCAAAGGCCAAATGTTTCCTTTAATATGAAGATGCTGACTCATAATGGGAGCTTCGGAGGAATGGAGGAACTTTAGATAGGGCAAAGGGAAGGGAGGGGGGAGGAAGGAGACATGGGGGCAGGAAAGATGGTGGAATGAGGTGGACATCATTACCCTAAGTACATGTATGAAGACATGAATGGTGTGAAAATATTTTGTGTACAACCAGAGACTTGAAAAATTGCATTCTGTATGTGTAATGTGAATTAAATTGCATTCTGCTGTCATAGATAACAAATTAGAATAAATAAGTAATTAAAAATTAAAAGGCCTTCTGTAACCTGAACCAAGCCAACATCTTCACCTTCTTTTCCTACCACTTCCCTACTTGCTCAGTCAGGATTCTTGAGGATGGATTTTTAAAAATTTTGTTTTGTTTGGGGTTTGTCTCCTTTGTTTATTGTTGTATCCCCAGTACCATGGAAAGGAATCTGCAAGAAACCTTTCTTTATTTCTGGTGTCGGCTCTGAGTAGAAAAAGGAACCTTTCTAAGAATCTGAATTTATAAGCCTGCCTACATACTGGTTTGAAATTTGATTTACACACAATCTAAGAAACCCCATTCCATTAAAGTGCTTTTGGGTTTGAAGTGCTTAGCAAAAGTAGGACCGCATATTTTCTGGAGGAATGCATCCTTGATCCTGGGCCATGACTGAAAACAGAAAAATTACCAGACACACACAAAAAAATCAAGTCAACATAAGTAAGGGAAAAACAAACAAAACACCAGCAACAAATAAACCCTGCAAGATTAGGTCACCAAGATCTTTGGATAGTAGAATTATCAGATTCAGAAAATAAAATGACTGTGGTTAAATGTTTATAGAAATTCAGAAGGAGAGGCTGGCATACTGAATCTCCATGGTAGAGCAATTGCTTCGAATGCACTAGGCTCTAGGATCAATCCCCAGCATTGCCCAAAAAACAAAACAAAACCCAACAACAACAATAAAATAAATAAATAAATAAAAACAGGAGAATAATAAAAATAGTCACAGTTAATGTTTATTGGATGCTTTCTTTGTGCTAGGCACTGATTTCAGAGCTTTACATATTTTAACTCATCTGATCTTAATAATTCTAGGAGATAAGTTTCTGTTATCCTTAACAGATGATAGGAAATGGAAATGGAGGCAGGAGAGTTAAGTAAGTTTCCCAGGGTTGCCTGAGTAGTAAGTTATAGAGAAGAGAGTTTAACTTTGTCAGTCTAGTTTATCTGATATTTTTGTCTTTTTTTCGGGGGTTGGGGAGCTTACCTGGAATTGAACTCAGGGGCACTAGGCTGCTGAGCCACATCCCCAGCCCTATTTTGTATTTTGTTTAGAGACAGGGTCTCACTGAATTGCTTAGAGCCTTGCCATTGCTGAGGCTGGCTTTGAATTTGCAATCCTCCTGCCTCAGCCTTCTGTGCCGTTGCTATTATAGGTGTGTGCCACTGCACCCAGCTGATATTTGTGTCTTATGTGATTTTTAACATACCTCTCTTAATAATTAGATAAAAATCAGGAGTCAAATACTAGTAATGAAATAAAAGATTTGACCAACAATCGATTTCACAATAGCTTCATCTAATGCTATTTTTCTAACTGTGTTTTTATGTAAAATCAATATCATGGATTGCAACTAGTATTAAAAATGCATGTGCATCAGGGGCTGGGGCTGTAGCTCAATGGTAAAGCGCTTACCTCGCATGTGTGAGGCACTGGGTTCAATCCTCAGCACCACATAAAAATAAATAAAGATAGTGTGTGTCTATCTACAACTAAAAAATTTTTTTAAAATGCATGTGCATCAGTAGCTAAATTGTGGAACCAACCCAGATGCCCTTCAGTAGATGAATGGATAGGGAAACTGTGGTATATATACACAATGGAACATTACTCAGCATTAAAAGAGAATAAAATCATGGCATTTGCAGGTAAATGGATGGAGTTGGAGAATATAATGCTAAGTGAAGTTAGTCAATCTCAAAAAACCAAAGGCCAAATGTTTTCTTTGATATGAGGATGCTGACTCATAATGGCGATGGGGGCCGGGGAGCATGGGAGGAATGGAAGAACTTTAGATAGGGCAAAAGGAAGGGAGGGGGCAAAGGGATAGGATTGGTGGTGGAACGAGTTAGACATCGTTACCGTAAGTACATGTATGAAGACATGAATGGTATGAAAATACTTTGTGTACAATCAGTGACCTGAAAAATTGTGCTCTACATGTGCACTATGAATTGAATTGTATTCTGCAATCACGTATAACAAATTAGAATAAATAATTTTTTAAGAAATGCACTTGCGTGTGCATGTGTGTGTATAAAACTGTTGTGTGAGGTTTTGTTATGCTTTGTACATGTGTGTTCAGGGGTATAACACGATATATTTCTTAATATGGATCACAATTAAAAAGTGCAAAACAGATTTAATGGAACATAGAATGCTGTACCTAGCAACTGGCCAATTCATGTTCTTTCTACCAAAATTTAACAATAAAGCTAACCCAATAAAACAAATAGCGCATTTTATAGAATCTATATTACATAAGTTTCATGCCCCAAATGTTATTAAGTTAGAAATTAATATCAAGTAAACAAAACATTGACTTGAAGACTTTAAACATACTTCTAAGGAATAGGTTGAAGAAAAATCTTGAAAATTAGAAAATGATTTGGGGTTGGGGTTGTGGCACAGTGGTAGAGTGCTTGCCTGGCATGCATGAGGCACTGGGTTCGATCTTCAGCACCACATAAAAACAAAATAATGTGTCCACCTAAAACTAAAAATACATAAATAAATATTTTTAAAAATTATAAAATAATTTAGGACTAAATCATGATGAAAATACTCTATTTCAAGGCTGGGGATTGTGGCTTAGTGATAGAGCGCTCGTTAGCATGTGCGAGGCCCTGGGTTCGATCCTCAGCACCACATAAAAGTAAATAAATAAATAAAGGTATTTAAAAAAATTACAGTATATCATTTAAAAATGCTCTATTTCAAATTCTGTGGCCATGTGACTTATACTGGCACTTAGAACAAAATTTGTATTTTAAAAATCCAAAAGGAAAAAAATCAGAATAAACTGAAAATAAGTGGAAGACATATTAAAGATAAGAGCAGATTTTTTTTTTTTGGGGGGGGGTACCTGATTGAACCCAGAGGCACTTAACCATTGAGCCACATCCCCAGCTCTTTTTAAATTTTTTTTAGTCTGAGATGGGGTCTCACTAAGTTTATTAGGGCCTTGCTAAATTGCGGAAGCTAGCCTTTGAAGATCAGAATTTAATAAAATAAAGATTTAATAGAGAGGAGTTTTAAAAGGTAAAATTTGGTTCTTTAAAAATATTAATAAATCTTCCAAGCATGGTGGCACACTCTTGTAATTCCAGCAACTTGCGAGGCTCAGGCAGGAGGATCTCAAGTTCAAGACCACCCTGGGCAATTAGCAAAACACAGTCTCAAAATTTAAAAAGGGGCTGGGGGATGTAGCTCAGTGGTAGAGCGCTCTGCCCCTTGGTTCAATCCGTGGTACCACATCAACAACAATAGATTAACAGATCTACAGCAAGACAATTTTTATAGTAATATAAATGTAATATAGAAATATAGTAATATAAAGGAATATAAATATAGTATACATATATAGTAATTATTAGTATAGTAAACCTGAAAATGAAAATAAAAATAAAAGGATAGAAAAAGACTATGACCATGTTATAACCCAAAAGGAGGCTGGTATGGACTGTATTAATACTTGATAAAAAGAACTTCAAGACAAAAAAGATCATTTCATAGGAGTGATTCCCAATGATCAACAGGTTCTGTTCACTAGGAAGATAAAACCATTACATGAGTGTGCTTAGTGGCCAGCAGTACTAGTGCTGATGTAATGTACTGTAGTGGAAACTCTTACACACTGTTGATGGGATGGAAATTGGTATACTCTGTAAATCAACCTGGCAGCATTCTGGTGAAGTTAAAGGTGTGTGTTCCAGCAATATCACTCCCAGTTACATACCTCTGATATCTAAACTGGAAGAAAATTCTTGATTTTGTACACCAAAAGACATTACCAAAAGTTTATCTAGTATTGTTTATAACGACAAAAAAAAAAAAAAGGGAAGCAACCTAAATATCTGTAACCTGTAAAAAGGATAATTTCCTAGTCCTAAAATGATGATGAAAATTAATTAAGGGGTGGGGCTCAGTGGTAGAATGCTTTAAGCTACCATTGTGTGAGGCACTGAGTTCTATTCTCAGCACCACATATAAATTTTTAAAAATTGAATGAATCTCACAAAGAAAGAAAGTTGTAGAATATGTACAGTATGATGCCATTTATAAATGTTCAAAATAATGCAAATAATGCTGCATGGCCTAGAGATATATATAATGGAAATATATAAAATATATAAATATATAAGTATATTTATATATAAATATATAAAAGAAATTATGAAAGGAATCACACAAAGGGAGCTTAATATGTTGTTAATGTTTTATTTGTAAGCTGAGTATTAGATGTCAGTATTATACCTCTAAAAATACTACTTAATTTTAAAAAGATTGAGTAGATATGGAAATTCTCTGCATTTAATATTTACTAACTTTATTGAAAAAATATTTTGAGGACCTTAACCCATCATCTAATGAGCTCTTAAAATGGAAAGGAATTACTTAGAAAGGAGTAACAGTATAGTACTGGGGATGTTATTTTGATTTTTTTTCCCCCAAAATTGAAGCCCTAAAGCCTTTTCCTTATGTTTTTACTTAATTTAAACCACCCTGTAGTTTTTTTTTTTCTTGAGACTATGTGGATACTATAAAACCAGTTATTATAAAATGCCTTTTCTAAATTAAGAGGTAATTTTAGTAACCAGTGGTTAGTTTCTAACCAAAATGTAACTTCCTTACATCAAAGCATTTTAGAGGGAGTATATATTTTTATGTAGTTGGTGTGGAAAATAATTATTCTTTAAAAAAATGTATGTTTCCTCCTTTTGTAAGGATTTATGTATCAGACTTTAGAACTGAATGTGTAGTGAGGCTGAATTTGTACTCTTAAAAGATTCCTTGATTTATTTGAATTAAAAATTCTTTTACAAAGGTGCCCGCCCCAAGTTGGGACGCCGACACAGTATGGAAAATATGGAACTCATGAAGTTAACACCAGAAAAGGTTGGCCATTTTTATGTTTTAAATTTTATGTACTGTTATGAAATATTTTAGTAACTTTTAATTTAAACAAAATAATCTGCATACACCTCGTCCTTTGTGGCTCTCACTTAAAATTTTGCCTTAAAAAGAATGGGAAAAAGTGCAGTACAAAATTAATATGTACAGCATGTTGTCACTTGTATAAGATAAATGCATATCCTTTGTGGATTCATAAAGCATTTCTGGAAAAGCATATCAGAAACTTGGCAACAATTGTGACTTCTGGGAAGAGGACTGGGTGTCACAGTTAGGCTGGAGATACTTTATATACCAGTTTGAACTGTTTGAATATTTTACCATGTAAATGTATTACTTTTTTTTTTAATTAAAAGATCAGAAAGATCAATAAATAATCAGGAAGCTTTTTTTTTTTCTTTTCAACTACATGACGAGCAACTATAATCAAAAGGAAAAGTGTTTTTTTTAGCTGCATTTTTTTTTTAACTGACAAAGTACTTTTTATTCAAGATGCATCCTCCTTAGGCTTTTTTTTTTTGGGGGGGGGTGCGTTACACAAGGAACTTCATAATTGGAAAAAGGTTATTGGAAAACAAATCAAGGTAGTTTCTTCCACCTCCATTTAACTTAGTTTTACATTGTTACAATAGGCTCTCATTCCCTCATGGTGTATTTTTAGAAATAAGTTTTTTATAAGATAGGTTCATTATAGCAACTTTAGAAAATTCCAGCAAGAAAATTGAAATAATCAGTAATCTCAACTCATAGTAACTAACTATAATATATTGGTATCTTTTCATTTGGCATTTTCATTTGAATGTTATCACATTTTAGGTGCTATTTTATAATATATAGTCATGTGTTAAGAGCATTTTTCTATGTCATTATTCTTTTGCCCTATCATTATAATAACTAGCATATGATGTTTTAATATTAACTCTTTTTGTATGAATAGCCTTCAAAAATCCGACATCTAATTGTCTTGGTCTCATATCCAAGAGTTCTTATTCCCATCAGTTACACAGTTGTTTAAAAACTCTGGTAACTTCTGAAGGACCTTGAGATTCCTCCCAAATATCTAGCTCTTACCTTCTGAGTAGTTTTCAAATATAAATCTATTAAATCCACACTTTTTTTTTTTAAGTTAGGACAGTTTTAGTCTGCTTTCTTCTAGTTAGAAACCTTCTAATAGGTAGCAGATTAATTTGTTATCTTACGCCTACCTGTGTAGTGGTATAACTAGAATTCTTCTAAATTCTATAAGAAGTTTACTGGAGTCAATCTGGTAATTCTCCAAAAGCCAGGTTTTATCTCCATTTAAAAATATTTTAGTGGAGTTGATTCCTTTTTCCTCATAATAAATTTTCCAGAGTTCATTATTTTATTACTCTCAACAAAGAAGCACATGTAAGGAAAACAGAGAACTCTGGGTTCAAAGTTGCAGCTTGGGCGAGAGTGCAGTGAGAGGGGACTTTTGAGACTTGGATGTCTGAAAAGTTGTGAAAATGTCTTTTCCTGGTAATTTTGCTGACTATAGAATTCTTGGTTAAGGGGTGGTCAGACTGAATACTTAGCATGCATAAAGAAGTAGGTTCAGTCCTCAGCATACATGCAGGAAAAAAACTGGGGTTGGAAATAACTTGCCTTCACAATTAAAAAAAAATTTAAGTTTTTGATGAACCTTTATTTTATTTATTTGTATGTGGAGCTGAGAATCGAACTCAGTGCCTCATGCATGCTAGGCAAATGCTCTACCACTGAGCCACAACACAACCCCAGCCCCAGCCTTCATGATTTTTAAGATGTTAACTCCACTTTGGATTCTTACATTCAATGTTATGAGACTGAAAGTCCAAATAACTACATAAGAAATATTTTTCCAATTTCAACTTGAGTTTTAAGTACAGTTTTATGTTCTCACACCATTCAGTAGGCTATGAAATTGATTCTACAAAATAAGGGGAAATTACCCTTAGTAGTCTATATGTGAAAAGGAATAGATGGCTTGGCTCATTCCTGTATATGAGCCTCAGAGTAGGGGTTATTTTAATTCGTACCTCATAGGAGACTTTTCTGAGTAGAATGAAATGTTGTAATTGCTGGGTTTCTGTTCTTGCAACTAAAAGGCTCAAGGGTCACTCCAGTTGAACTGGGCTAACTGGGCTGTGCAAAATAACCACAGAAGAGACACAAAAACCTTTTTCTTTGGGGTTGCTGTGACGGCTACTTGACCTTAAGGGTCTTCAGAAAGGGGTGGGGGGGAGAGAGAGAGAGAGAACGTAATGAGGAAAAGCTATTCAAATGAGGCAAGGGGTCAGGTTTCAGGGGGCTGAGTCTATCTTCACGTTGTCCACTGTCAGCAGGTTGACTGACATCTGGGTAGGCCACACCCAAAGGCACAGTAAGAGAAGGGGACACACACAAGGCACTTCCATGGAAGATTCTATCCTAAACAGGGCAAGGGGTTATATTACAAAGGAACAGGTGAGCGTAGCTCCACCCATGGGGCTGTAACTAGACACACCCATGCACGGGACACCGCCCCTCGAACCCAAGAAGGGAGGGGAAAGCTCTGTCACATTTCTGTGACTGAGCGCTTCAGCACCCAGCTGGGGAGTGTGACTTAGTCACATGCAAGGTTGGTCTCCCATAGTATATCTCGATTGGGGTAGGAGTTTTATTGTATACTTGAAATTTGTACATTTTACCAACACATGAATTTCTTCTATGAAAAATGTGCTATGTGAAAATTGTCAATTGTTATATAAGCACAGACCTTTAAAATTATTTGCACTTAAGATGGAATGTTAAAGCTGCAAATGTCCTAGGGCTATTGTAAGTACTATATATTCTTCCTTCATACTGAATAAATTTGTTATTTTGAGTCTGTTAGAGATTGTCATGTGTATTTAAACCAGATCTAGATCTATATAAATTGGTTTTGCCTAGTGGAAATTTAGCATGTGTTAGTGAAAACAGTTTTTTATCATCAGAAAAATTGCCAGTACCATGGACATACTAAAGGTTAATTTTTATGGTAAAAAATTACACATGCACCCAGAATTTCCAGTTATAACAGATTTTTATGTAGCTCATATCCATACTACTTTGTATCTTTCTCCTAATACATTTGATATAAGCTCTTTAAAATACTGAAATACACTGAAAAGGGGGACTTACTAAGAGATCTGAAATTCTCCTCCCATCCCAATTGTCAGTGCATTAACATGTCAGGTTAATGATAAAAGAAACCAGAGTTGGGTTTTTTCATGTCTTGCTTTCCATCTGTAATTTTATAGGTACAGAACTGGAACAGTGAAATTCTTGCTAAACAAAAACCTCTCATTGCCAAACCTTCTGCAAAGCTACTCTTTGTCAACAGACTGAAAGGGAAAAAATTCAAAACCAATTCCTCTGCTAAAGTTCTCCAAGATGCCAGTAATTCTATTGACCACCGAAATCCGAATTCTCAGAGGGTATGTTTTTGAGTGTTGTGTTTTGAGTAGCAACTTACTTTAGTTTTCTTATATTCATCCTGAATTTTTGGTCAGATAGATGGCATAAAATATCTTTGTTATTTAGAAAACTTGTCCATGTTTTCCTATCTTTTCTATTTTTTTCACAGCCAGAACAGGAATTACTCCATTCATAAATAATTGCTCCATTGTTTTGGATAGTAATTATCACTTTGTGTTTCAGGTACTACTGTTTGCATAAATATTTTGTTTTGCAGTGCTGGGGATTGAATGCAGGGCCTGTTCAAGGACTTTTATTTTGAGGTACTGAGATGTTTGAACTCAGGAGTGCTTTATCACTGAGCTACATCCCCAGCCCTTTTTATTTTGAGAAAGGATCTCACTAAGTTGCTAAGGCTGGCCTTGAATTTAGAATCCTCCTCCATCAGTCTCCCAAGTAGCTGGGATTACAGGCATATTTTAGAATGAAAAGTATATGCTAGCTCCTCTTATTTCACATAAAATGGAGTCCAGTCCTGTTAGTACTACATACAAGGCCCCTATTTTGACTTCTTTCCTCCTCTTCCCCCACCTCTTGTTGTTCACTGACTACTACAAATCTTCAGAAATGCATATTAATCAGTATAAACCGTCTCTAAACTGAAAAAGCATATTCAGTCTTATGGACTCAACACAAATACAAGCTGTGTAATTTTCTCTAAGAATAAATCACTTTCTCCTTAGGCCTATTACATTTTGTATAAATATGCCTCTATTATATTACTTACATTATGGAAAAAATTTAACATTGTATTCATTTCAATTGAAGCCTTCTAAGTAAAAATATTGAGAGTCCCTTCTTCCCCATAATATTTAATTATTACAAGTTTGTTTTTTGAGGATCTTCAAATATTTAATAAAAAGACCTTGGAGGGACTTGAGATATAGCTCAATGGCAGAACACTTACTTTGCATACACAATGCCCTGGTTCTATTCTCAGTACTACCATCAAAAAAAGAAAAGCTGGGCGCAGTGGCACATGCCTGTAATCCCAGTGGCTAGGGAGGCTGAGACAGAAGGATTGAGAGTTCAAAGCCAGCCCCAGCAACTTAGCGAGGCCCAAAGCAACTCGAGAGACTTTGACTCTAAATAAAATACAAGAAAGGGCTGGGGATGTGGCTCAGTAGTAAAGCACCCCTGGGTTCAACCTTGGTACCAAAAAACCCCAAAACTTGTAAATACTATGATAGAAAAATATACTTGCTTTCTCACTTAACTAATCTTGAATTCTGTTTTTGTAGAATCTTAGAACTGAAATTTGAGTCTGAGGTATACATCCGCATCACACATACAGCCATGTGCCACATATGCAACGTTACTTATATAACAGTATATACCACATGGCTTAGCTGTGTAGTAGGTTATACCTCCTAGGTTTGTTTTGAGTATATTGATGTTCACATGAGGAAACTGTTTTAACAATGTGTTTCTCAGAATGCATCTCCATCGTTAAGTGATGCATGGCTATTTACATAACTCATTCATATCTGTAGCAGGTACATTTCTTTGGTCTTAGAAATATAGAAATTAAAGGCTGGGCTCAGTGGCACATGCCTGTAATCCCAACAATTTGGATGCAGTAGGATTGCAAGTTTGAGGCCAGCCTCAGCAAATTAACAAAACCCTGTCTTAAGATAAAAAGATGTAGCTGGGGATGTAGCTCAGTGGTAAAGCACCCCTTGGTTCCATTTCTAGTACCACACACACACAAAAAAGAAATACAGGAATTAAAATTTTTTTGTTAGGGCTGGGGTTGTGGCTCAGAGGTAGAGTGCTTGCCCAGCACATGTGAGGCACTGGCTTGGATCCTCAATATTGCATAAAAATAAATAAATAAAGGTATATTGTGTCGGGCTGGGGATGTGGCTCAAGCCATAGCACGCTCTCCTGGCATGCGTGTGGCCCGGGTTGGATCCTCAGCACCACATACAAAGATGTTATGTCCGCCGAAAACTAAAAAATAAAAAATTAAAAAACTCTCTCTCTCTTCCCCCTCTCTCTCTTAAAAAAAAAAAAAAAAGGTATATTGTGTTCATCTACAACTAAAAAAAAAAGAATTTTAAAAAAATTGAAAAAAAATTTGTTAGTTGGATTGAAATAAGTTTTTATCACCAAAATTGGTTCTTTAATTCTTTTTGAAAATTTATTTTTAATCTTAATCCTAATTACCTTTTGCATTCGAGTGTTGATTAATGACCTGAGGAAAATGGGAAATATTTTATATATTTTCTCCATTTTAGAAAATCAGCGCAGATACTGTTGGAGATGAAGGATTCTTTGACCTGTTAAGCCGATTTCAAAGCAACAGGATGGATGACCAGAGGTGCTGCTTACAAGAAAAGAACCGCCATGCAGCTTCTTCCACTCCCCCGAAAGGGACGCTAAAATGTAAGTCATCTGTACTGCTGTTCTGATTTTAATATTCTTGATATTCTGGTGCTTTATTTCTAAGAATTCAGTGCTCATCATAGGAGATAAAATAAATGAAACTGAATTCAGGTGTGCTTGAAATGCTGGCATTTGTACAGTTCAAAACAAGGTTCTTTGAGTTCTCTTAAGTAGATCTGTGTTTTTAGTCCAGCGCTTTCCACTGTATCATTCTTACTCCCTAGTTTCTTTGGGGCTGGGGTTCAGTTCAATGGTGGTGCTTGCCTGGCATAGCCCTGGGTTTGAACCAACAAAAAAATGAGGGGAAAATGATAGTTGTACATAACTTATGATTGTATATAATTTGTAAATACTTCATATCTGGAATAAAAAATGAAAAGCCTGGACTGGAGTTGTAGCTCAGTGGTAGTACACTTGTCTTGCACGTATGAGGCACTGGGTTCCATCCATAGCATCACAGGAAAATAAATAAATAAAGACATTGTGTCTATCTACAACTAAAAGCTTACACAGAGTGAGGAGTCACCTATGGCTAAGGCCTGCCTAAGTCTTAGGCCTACAATAGGTTACTTAAAATTTCTTATTTTAGTTTACTAAAATATGACTTGTGCAGATCAAGACTTTCCAGCAGCACTTTAACTCAGTTCACTAAAATTCCCATCCCAGGGATGGAAGGAAAAAAACTATCTCATTCCACCTAGTCTGAGAAATTATTGTAAGAAAAGCAGTTTATTCACCTTCTCAAGTCTACCCATACCTTATAGATTTGGAAAGTCGAGTCAATAAAGGAAAATATAGACAAATCTGAATAACCTCCAGGTGGATCATCTGAGGTACTATGGGGTTGTGCTTCCCTCCCTGCCAATGAAAGCTACCACCATCTTGTCAAAGCCTGCCAGACACAGCACTGAAAGGAGGAGGTCAGGACAGGTGTTAGGAAGGCAGAGAACTGTGTGATAAATATGTTTATGTATGAGTGTACCTTTTTCTGGAGGGAAAGGGAGGGGGCAGGGGATTATCAAGGATAGTGGAATGTGATGGATATCATTATCCAAAGTTCATGAATGAAGACACGAATTGGTGTCAACATACTTAATATACAACCAGAGATATAAAAAATTGTACTGTATACATGTAATAAGAATTGTAATGTATTCCGCTGTCACTTATTTTTTTTAAAAAATCAATATAAATATGTTTAAACATTTTTGTAATTTTTTTGGACTTTTTTTCCCTATTCATAGCGCCATATGTTTCCGTGGTGTCCCCCAACACCGATGAGTTTTTAGATCTTCTTGCCAGCTCACAGAGCCGCCGTCTGGATGACCAGAGGGCCAGTTTCAGCAATTTGCCAGGACTTCGTCTGACAAAAAACAACAATCAGTCAGTACTTGACCGACTAATGACTAATGACAACAAAGAGCCTGATGAAGACTTCTTTGATATCCTTGTAAAATGTCAAGTAGGTCTGCATAGTCTTTTTTTTTTTTAGATGGGGGCAGGTACTGAAGATTGAACTCAGGGGCACTCAACTGCTGAGCCAACATCCTCAGCCCTTTTTTGTATTTTATTTAGAGACAGGGTCTCACTGAATTGCTTAGTGCCTTGCCATTGCTGGGGCTGGCTTTGAACTCATGATCCTCCCACCTCAGCCTCCCTAGCCGGATTACAGGCATGCACCACCACACCCGTCCTGCATAGTCTTTGAATTCTGTATATAGCTCAGGTTCTCATGTTACAGTGTATACTACATGTTATAGTGGTATACTACTATAGTTTTTATTCAGGAAGGGTTCATTTTGTATTCTAAAGTTATTATCTACTTACTCATGATTATGTTCTAGACATTGAATATATGTACTTTACCCCGCATTAGTGAGAGAAACAGTAAACAAATACACATATTCAAACATTTATGTGGTCAAGCAGTGATACTTGGTATGAAAAAAGTTGAAAAGGATGAAGGAGTTGGAGGACCCTCTACTTAGAGAACTTTCTGGATTTTTATTTGAACAGAGACTTGAATAAAGTGTGGCAAACAGCAAGTCCCCTATAGGATATAATAGCTGAGCAAGTTCAAGGAAGGGCACTGTGGCTAGTGTGGAAAAAGAGAAATGGAGAGTGGTATGAAATGTAGCCGGACAAGTAATTAAGGCCTTGTTCAAGTGGGTTCTTGTAGGCTGAGATGAAGTTTGTGTTCTAAATCTGTGAGGAACATAATAGAGTTCTGAAAAATCATCCTGGATACTGAGATGTAAATGTAAAGTAGCAAGTATATTAGTACAAAAACCAGCTGCAAAGCTAGCATGGTAAAATAGGCAAAAGAGATTGGTAATCTAGACTAGGGTGACAGTAGTAATGATAAGTAGAATAGAGATATTCTGGCTGATTGGCAAAACCTGTTAATAAATTGGATAAAGGTATGAGAGAAACTTAAGATGACTTCTTTTTGCTTTGAAATACAACTGGGTGAATGAATGATGGTGGTGAAGACTGGAGAAGCAGATTTGGAGAGAAAAGTCCTGAGTTTTATTTTAGATATGTTAAACTGGAAGGAATCAACATATAGCTGGAACTAAAGCCCTGAGAAATGATTATACATACACAAAAGGTAAGGTGGAAACCAAGTGAAGAAAGTATCTTAAAGAACGTTCAAAATGTTGCCAAGATGCCAAATAAGATAATTAAAGATTTGGCAATGTGAAGCTCATTACCAATTTCAAAAGATTGTTACAAAGGGGAGAGAGTAAGTATAGAAAACTTTCAAGAGGTTTTGATTATAAAGAGAAGCAACAAAACCGATCATTAGCTTAAGGGAGACATAGGGTAAAGATACATTTTTCTTTGGATGATAATACATCATGTCTACAGATGGAAATGGTCAAGTAGGGAGGACAGCCACTATCACAGCAGGAAGGTAACATAGTTTTTGCGTAGGAAAAACTATGAGATGGAAAGCAGAATATTTGTGTACAGCTGGAGATGAGAAAAGTAGAAATTCTCTGACTTCTCTAGTTGCTTTTATTTTCTTGGTAAAAAGTAGGGCCATTAGGGCTGGGGTTGTGGCTCAGCAGTAGAGTGTTCATCTAGCATGTGTGAGGCCCTGGGTTCAATCCTTAGCACCACATACAGATAAATAAAAGTATTGTGTCCACCTACAACTAAATTAATTAATTAATTAATTATATATTTTTTTAAAGTAGGGTTTGGGGACATCACAAATATGAAGAGAAAAAGTGGAAAATAGCTGACTTCGTGAAACTAACTTGACTAGGTTAAAGTAATAAGATTACTGAGCTGAGGCCCCACATGAAGGTCACCAGAAGTAGGACCATTCAGTGCAGTTGTACTTAATCAAGGTTGGTATTTTGCCAGAGAAAGGTAGTTGAAGATATATTCCAGGGAGTTATTTTAATAGTGGACTTTGAAGTCTAGGCAGTAGGAAAGAAAGTAAGGAAATAAGGAAATGAAAGATACCTAATAACAAAGCATTAAAATATATGAAGTAAAAAATTGATAGAATTTAAGAGAAAATGAACTCTTGTACAATAACAATTGCAGACTTAAATACTCCATTATCAATAATAGATGTGACAGTCAGCAGATGAGTGGGGAAATAGAGAACTTGAACAACCAGTAAACCAGCTAGACTTAGCAGACATGTTACTACTCTGCCCAACAGTAAGAGCATGCACATTCTTCTCAAGTGCACATGGGATATTTTCTAGGATAGACCATTCTGAGTCTCAGCATATGTAAGATTTTGACCACAGAAGATGAATTTAGAAGCAATTACAGTAAGAAATTTACAAATTTGTGGAAATTAATGTTATTAACCAAAGAAATCAAAGGGAAACTGGAAAATACTTAGAGACAATTGCAAACATAATACCCTAGTTAAGGCATGAAGCAAAGGAGGCACCAAAGGGAAAAATATACAACTGTAAATGTTTACATTAGAAAGAGAAAATCTCAAATCAACAATCTAACTTTTTTTCTAGTTCCTTAAGTTATAAAGATTAGACAGAGGTAGAAAACAGAAAACCAATAGAAAATCAACAAAACTAAAAGTCATTCTTTGAAAAGATGAACAAAATTGGCAAACCCTTACCTAGTCTAATAAAAGGGAAAATTAAATTTCATTCATGTATAATTGTTAAAGTGAACCCAATTATTATATACAACTATAATGCATCAATTAAAAAAAACTTACTAAATCAAAATGAAAGTGGGATATTATTACTGATTCTACAGATACAAAAAGAAATAAGAGAAAATTATGAATGACTATTAACAAACTGTGTAATAGAGATGAAATGGACAGATTACTAGACAAAACCTACTAGGAACAAATCATGAAGAAATGGAAAATAAACCCATAACTAGTAAGGAGGTTGTACTAGTAATCAAAAACCTCCTGGCAAAGAAAAGCCCTAGACTTGACAGTGTTACTGGTAAATTCTACCAAACATGTAAATTTCTCAAAAAAAAAAAAAAGAAAAGATCTTCTGAATTGATGCAAAGAAACCACCTGGCAGAATTCAGGATTCTCATGATAAAAACACTTAAGAAATTAAAAACAGTATGAGGGGCTAGGGATATAGCTCAGTTAGTAGAGTGCTTGCCTCACATGTACAAGGCCTGGAGTTCAATCCCTAGCACCACCCACACACACCCACACAAACACAAACAGTATTAAACCACTACAACATAAAGCCATATGAGAAACCCACAGCTAACATCACGCCCAATGGTAAAATAATAAAGCATTCTAAGATCAGGAACAAGAAAAAAATGCACACTTTTGCTGCTTCTATTCAACACAGTACTAGATTTTGTAGCCAGAGCAATTAGACAAGAAATAAGGCATTCAGATTTGATGAAGAAGTAAAATTATCTTTGTTCACAAGTGATATGATCTTATATGTAGAAAATCCTTGTCGGGCTGGGGTTGTAGTACAGTGGTTGAACACTTGCCTAGCATGTGTGAGGCACTGGGTTCAATCCTCAGTACCACATAGAAATCAATGTCCATCAACAACTAAAAAAAAAAATTAAAAAAAGAAAACTCTGTCAGAGTGATGGGGCACTCCTGTAATCCCAGCAATTTAGGAGGCAGAAGCAGGAGGAAGGATCTCAAATTCAAGGTCAGCCTCAGTAACTTAGCAAGGCCCTATAAAAATAAGGGGGGGGGGGGGCTGGGGATTTGGCTCAGTGGTTAAGCACCCCTGGGTTCAATCCTCAATGCCAAAATAAATAAATATCTTAAATATTTTACACACACACACACACACACACACACACACACACACACAATTAGAACTAAGCAATGTATGAGGCTGGGGCTGTAGCTCAGTGGTAAAGCATCTGTTTTGCATGTGTGAGGCACTGGGTTCGATCCTCAGCACCACATAGAAATAAAGATACTGTGTGTTCATCTACAACTAAAAAAAAATTTTAAAAAAAGAACTAACCAATGTAGCAGGATACAAAATCAACACAAATATCAGTTGCATTTCTATATTGACAATGAATTAGAAAGGGAAATTATAAAAATAATTCCATTTAAAATACTAAGAAATTAATCAAGGAGGCAAACTACTTGTGCAGTGAAAACTACAAAATATTGCTGAAAAAGATAATGGGAACACATTCCATGATCACGGATTGAAGACTTATTATTAAAATTCCCCTACTAATCTGCAGGCTAAAGATTCAGTGCATTCCCTGTAAAAATCCCAATAGCTTTAATTTGCAGAAATAGAAAAATCTGTCTTAAAATTAATACAAAATCTCAAAGCCCCAAATATCCAAAACAAGAGGAACAAGGTTGCTGGACTCAAATTTCCTGGTTTCAGAAGTTCTTGCTAAGCCACAGTGACCCAAACAGTAATGTACTAGCATAAAGTTAGACATAAAGACTAGAATAAAATGGAAAGCCCCAAAATAAACCCTTGCATATCTATCTATCTATATATATATATATTTTTTTTCTTCCTCAAATGATTTTTAGCAAGGGTGCTGATTTCTTCCTTTTATACTGCTACATAGGTACTGCAGACTGGGTATTAGTAATAAGAAATTTATTTGCTTCACAGTTCTGGAGCTTGGCTCTGGCATGGCAAAGGTAAGGGTCTTTGTGCTGTGTCATCCCATGGTGGAAGGGTAAAAGAGTACAAGAACAAAAAAGCAAGAGGCTTTTGGAGAGGTGAGGGTTGGGAGGGCAGTAGGGATCGAACTCAGGTTCTTGCACAGTTTAGGCAAGTAGTCTACCACTGGGCTATACTCTATCCCTGAACTCACTTTTATAGTAAGCCCACCCTCAAGGTAATTAACCCACTCCCAAAATAATGCCATTCAGTCAGAGCCCTGTGGACTATTCACCTCTTATTAGCCCTACCTCCCAAAACTGTAGTATTGGAGATTAAGTTTCCAAAAGATGAACTTTGGGGGACACATTCAAACCATAGCATGTGCCAAGGACATTCTATGGGGTAAAGAACAACCTTATAAAAATGGTCCTGAGAAAACCGGATGGTCATGCACAAAAGAATGCAATTGAACCCTTACCTAACACCATATGCACAAATTAACTCAAAATGGATCAAAGACATAAGCATCAGAACTGAAATTATAAACTTAGCAGAAAGAAGAAAGCTTCATGACATTGGATTAGGCAATGATTTCTTGGTTATGATACCAAAGGCACAGGAAACAACAACAAAAAAGACAAGTTTGATGTCATCAAAACTAAAAACCTCTGCATCAAGACACCAACACCAGTAAAATGGCAACCCACAGAAAACATTTAAAATCACATTATCTGACAAAGGATTTAATACTGAGAATATACAGAGTCCTAAAACTCAACAAAGAATCAACCTGACTTAAAAATGGGCAAAGAACCTAGATAGGCATTTTCTCCAAAGACAGCAAGGACCTGGCAGGCCTGTGGGAGCATCAGATAAGGAAGAGGTAAAGGACACACTGAAGTACAGGACTGTTGGATTAATTGGAGGCCGCTGTAATTATCAAGAATATGACAGGAGAAATGAAGAAGAGTGGTCCAGGTGTAATGTGGAGTGTGAAAGCAGAGCCTGCTGGGAGGCAGATAAACAACTGCACCCTCATAGAGTTAAGAGGTTAAATGTTAAGGCATGTAAATGCTTAGCACAGTGCCCAGCGATGTAGTGGGTACTCAGTTACTAGCCATCAACATTTTTTTTTTTTTAGGGGGTGGGTACTGGGGACTGAACCCAGGGCCATTTTACCACTGAGCTGCATTCCCAACCCTTTCTGAGACAGTCTCACCAAGTTCCTTAGGCTGAGCTCAAACTTGTGATCCTTTTGCTTCAGCCTCCCAAGTTGCTGGAAATTATAGGTGTGTGCCACTGTGCCCTGTCAGTCTACTCTTATTGAGTTATAATACCAGAAATTGCACTGTAGACTTAAAAAAAATATTTGTTTTAGTTATAGGTGGACACAGTATTTTTATGTGATGCTGAGAATTGAACTCCCAGTGCCTCACACATGCTAGACGAGGGCACTATCTCTGAGCCACAACCCCAGCCCCTGCATTGTAGACTTTTAAATTCTTTATTTGATCAATACTATTTCTAATATAAGTTATAATTGTAAGAGTAAAATTTGAAGGAAAAAATCAGTCTGGCCTATTTCTTTAACAGATTTTACTGCCTAAGACAAAGGCAGACAAACTTTAAAGGACCAGAGACAATATTTTAGGCTTTATAGACTACTTGGTCTCTGTTGCAGCTGCCCAACTCTGCCGTTACAGCAGAATAGCCAGATAGTAAGTACATAAACAAATTTTTGTGATAAAGTGAAGCTTTCAAAAGCACACATTGGGTTGATATTTGCTGGCCTAAGGATTTTTAAAGGTACTGCTTCAGGGCTTTTGTATGCAACATTTAATTTCTAAAGCTCTGCTTTGTTGTATTGTTGATGCAAACTGTGGTTAAGATTATAATCTTGAACCATCAGACACGGATGACCTTGCATTTTCAATTAATACTAGATTATTTCTTGTGACCAATTATAATTAAAATACTATGACTTAATATACTTACTAAACCCATGAAACTGTGGCTATAGTTTTACGTGATACTATATTCTGATTCTGTAAGTCATTTTAAAGGAAAAAACTGTTAGGTTTCAGGTGTTAATGTCTGAAAAGAAGCAAAGTAAATTTTTACAGCTCCACTTCTTATTATGACTAATGGACATAGCTTGGTGTTTTCCTTCCCTGAAGTATTTGTTTTAATCTTTCTTGTAAATTTTTAGGGGTCCAGATTAGATGATCAAAGATGTGCTCCACCACCTGCTGCCACAAAGGGTCCAACGGTACCAGATGAAGATTTTTTTAGCCTTATTTTACGGTCTCAGGCAAAAAGAATGGATGAACAGAGAGTTCTTTTACAAAGAGGTCAAAACAGAGACACTGAATTTGGACTAAAGAACCTTTTGCAAAGCAATGCTTTGTTGGAACTTAAAAATTCAGGAAAATAATCAGCAAACTAATTGCTACGGATTTTTCTTTTTAAAGAAAAGACTTGTTTCCTTTCAGAACACTGCAGGAAAATCCAATCTTTTTTTTTTTTCCCCTAAAGAGGATATATAGCACTGTAACATAGCTTGAAATGTTTTTAGAATGATGTACATATTTAATTCAGTAGTACAGTAGTAAGGAATAAATGTTGCTCTGGACACTCACTTGTGGGAGGGTGGAGATGTCCCAGAAGGTGCTTCATCCACTTCTGTGATTATTGCTTGGGATTCTGTTCTTTGGCAACTTATTAGATTCCTTTATTGGTATTTGTAAAATAGGAATTTAAATGACTCCTACAGTAGAATTTAATCCTCTTGCTGAGGTAATTTTTTAAGCTCTTTTTTATATATTTAACCATGGATATAATAGGAAATTATGTTGTTTAGTAAAAACAAAGTACTTGACCAATGTAAAAATGTTATGGACTTATTAAAAAAAAAAAACTTTCTCTAAGAAAACCTACTTTCAAAATATTTTTAGGCCAAAACTAATTAAAGGAAACTCTTAAGAAATAAACTTCTTTTAGCATGTTTTGGAGTACTTGTCTCTTGTGTTACATAACACTGCTATAAAAAACTAGTAGGAAAACATATAAAGAAAAACACAAAACATGTTATATCAAGAACCCAAGCTACATAAATAGAAAAGAAAAAAAGACAACAACTATGAAAATCAGTATAGAGGACCCTCAAAAGACTAGGCATGGAACTACCATATGACCCAGCTGTATCACTCCTCAGTATTTATCCTAAAGAATTAAAAGTCATCTTACTATAGTAATACATACATGCATACCCATATTACAGCAGCACAATTCACAAACTAGGGAACCAGCCTAGGTGCCTATCAACAGATGAATGGATAAAGAAATTGTGATATACATACATACATACACACTGGAATTATATTTAGCCATAAAGAAAAATGAAGTTATGTCATTTGTAGGAAGTGGATAGAACTAGAAAACCATGAGGTTAAGAAGGTCAAGAGTCATGTTTTCTCTCATACTCAGAAGCTGTAGAGGAAAGAGGAAAAAGGTGGGGTGGATGTCCTGAAAATCAAAGGGAGAAGAGTAGAGGTAAGGGACCAAGGGGTGCAACACAGGGAGAAAGCGGGTGAGTGCTGGGGAGTGATGCTGGCCAAATTATGTTGTTATATTGTGTTCATGTACAAATATGTAACAACAAATCCCATCATTATGTACAACTATAATGCACCAATAAAAAAAAATGGAAGAGAAAAAAATGAAGCATGAAAGACATGAGTTAAGACCTTGGCTGTCCTCAAACACTGCCCTCAGCGCATAGACTGAATGTAGTTTATAAAGATACATAATAGATAAATAAGTGCAGCAAAGTCAAGGAAGCAATAGAGCACAGCCTGGACTGAGGATGAATCACAGAATACGAACACCTACCCCTGGAACAAACTGATAGAACTTATTCAACTCTGGTTGCTTCTGATTCCACAAAAACAGATGGCACCTGGGTCTGTCTCTGTTCTCACAAAGTCAGATGATTCTGGTGGGCAAAAGTGAGACCCACTTCTCTAAAATGGCCATTGTTAAAATAAAAAAAAAGTTACACAGTCACAGCCTGGAATTATATTAAGAGCTCAAAAGAGAAGAACGATTTTCTTACCTTACAGTCACACAGGAATTTTGTCAAACACATTAGGTTAAAGCCAGGATTACATTAGTTTCATAAGTTATATATAAGGTATGATATCCTGAATACCATCATTTAAAAAACTGCAGATATGTTTTATGCAGGAGTTTTTTATTAAAGGAAAACTCATTTATTAAAGATGGCATGCCAAACCACAATAATGTAAAAATAAGTGTTTATTGTGTACACAGTGTTTCTTAGACCCTGTAAGCTTCATCAGCTATTCCATTTTTAAAACTGCTTTTAACAGCTATCTACTGCATTCTGATTTTCTTAAAAGCTTGCTACTTCAGACCCTAATTTCAATAACAAATATTGGCTAGTTAATAAAATAAACCTTGTCTCTCCTGTGGTGATAAACTGGCCTTCAATTTGCTTTAATAAAGTCTTCCCTGAACTTCTGTAATCAACAGCAGTAGCATGTTGCTTTGCTGTCAAAGTAGATTTCATCCCCAAATGGATATCTGTAATGAAAGAATGCAAAGATGAAATTGTAAATATTTTTTTAAAAAAAGTATTCCAAGTTTGGATTGATTGAAAGCAGTCAGGAGTGCAAGCACTTACAGTCTATAACCGGAGGTATTTACTTCTCTTCAGAATCAGATCACACTCACCAATCAGGTCTACTCCCCAGAGAGGACTTCTTTTTATGCATAGATGTTCATAAATCTATTTGAAACGGCAGGTATTCTTTCACTACTTCACTTGTTACATGCTTGCTATGTTTTTTATTTTTGGCAATGCTAAGGATCAAACCCAGGGCATTATGTATAGTAGTCAAGTGCTCTACCACTGAGCTACAGCCCCACCCTCCTGTGTTAATATAAAATTCTTTTTGTTTTCTTGGGAAAAAAAAAAGACTCCTTTCTGACCATTAGTACTAAAGATGCTTATAATGTTATCTAGAAAATATTAATATATAAAATTAAATTGTTTCATGCAATTTAATTTTTAACACTTTTAGGAGCCAAAAATGGGGTATTCTGCATTACATGTAAAATTTATAGACTTCTTTGAATATATCTTTTTTCCTGAAATAAATTTTAAGATTTTTTTTTCCTGACTTACCATTTTTGGAAAGCAGCTGAATATAACTTACATGAATATGGTTAAAACAATGAATAGCTGAATATTTGGGAAACCAGAGACATGGACACACTTTATGAACAGCTTTTTAGAAAGATTTAAAAGGAAGAATGCTTTTTAAAATCAAGAAAACTAATTTTAGATGTTGACTGAAAAAAATGTTAATTTGAAATGTTGCTTAGAAACAAAATGTTGACTGACCTATCTGTGGTTAAGGAAAACACCCTATTCTACTTATCATAGTGCTCTCCTCTATGTAGAGATCTGTAAAAAATTAGAAATTCATATAACCAAGACAATATGGTTTGCTATAAAATAAACAGACTAGTGTACTATCTAAGAGTGACAAATGCTGGGATTCTGAATAAGGAAAATAGGTCTTATAAAGCTTATGCACTTCATTTGGTAGGAAAAGAATAAAGCCATTCTCAAAGACTGCTAATGGTATAAAACTGAGCTTACTGATACAGCAAGCTATGTTATCTAAATTCCCCTGACAATCTTCAGCTCTGTCTTAGTGAAGCATAAAGTCAAAGGTGTGAGGAGGAAGCAGGCCCAGTACTAGGTATAGGAGGGATGAACTCACAAAGTCATACTCATCTGTGGGTGACTTAGAGAAAAACTGAGGTGTCAGTAGGACTGACACTGTTCATACATACTCTGAGGCTGCATTAAGATGCTGGAGTGCAAAAAGGGTGAACATAAGTGGACTTCCCTTAAAAATAATCTTTAAAGAACCTATTATATTGGAAACTCTAATGCAGAACTAATAAATTCTGCCAACGAAGTAATATTACAGAATTTCTACTCGGCCACATACACTTCAGTTAGCAGGTTCCTATAAATTCCTAAAACTCTTTAAGATTTCTCAATGTCCCCTAAGTCAGTCACCTTAATTATCTAGCACATACTCTTAGCTATAACATTCATTTAAAAATGTAAATTCTATGAGCCCTTGTCCCAAAATTAACACTTCAAAACTTTGTGAGATCTATCTTAACATCAAATAGACGTGGATGAAATTAAACAGAAGTTTATATATATGAATGTGTTAATTCTGATTGTCACTAAATGTATGAATGATTACACTGGCACTTTTGTTATAATCATCAGAATACTCAGGTGGGAAGAGTGAATACTCAGGTGGGAAGAGTTAAGAGCATACTTTACAAAATTCAAGACTTCAGAGCTGTGACCTGTGTCTGTGATCCTCTAGCCACACAGGCTACCAGAGGGATCCTTTCCACATGCTTCAGTCGCAGTTCTTTCTGGGCCACGTGTGCCACCTTCCTGGGGGCTATCTTCAGCTCCAGTCTTCAGCTGAGGCTTGGACACTGCGGGTGAGTCTTCTACAGTCTCTGATACCTCTTGGCCAGACACAGACTTAGCAGAATGACTGCTTCCTGTCAGAGTGCTTTCTCCTGGGATTCCACCAGTTTCTTTTGGTTTTGTATCCAAAATAGGTGATTTATGCTGTAAAGTACCATAGAATCACATTTTAACTTTTTAATTAATATAATGTGAAGTTTTAGTAACCAAACATACCAAACAAGTTCTTACTTAGAAACATGGTTTCAGAGCTGAATTCTAGTAATATAAAGGTTAAGTAAGCCTCACTGACTGGAAGACTGACATTTATAGGAGTTTAAGAGAATTGGTCACCAATATTGCTAACTCTTCTTATCTGATGAGAATCATTCATTCTAAAATATTTACTGAGCATGTATTAAGTTCTAGGTGCTAGAGATACAGTCAGAATAAGATACTGCTCACAAAAACTGTTCTTACTAGAATTTACCTTTAGGTTGGGGAGAGAATCAGGCAACAAATCAAAAGTATGATACATTATGAGAAACTAGCTATGTGCTAGAAGTGAGGTAGGACAGACAGTAGACTGCAGTTTAAATTTAGATGTTAAGCAGCATGTACAAGGACTTGAGGTTAAAGGAACAGTCAGGAGCTCTTGCGGCTAAGATAGTGTTGAGCATGGAAGGAGAACTGATAACCAGTGTGGCTGTGCATGTGGGGCAGGGCAGGGAGGCCCCTATGCCACTGGGGTAACTGGCTTTCCCTTTAAGTGAGAGGGAATGTCACTGAAGAATTCATTAACTATAAAAGCTGGAAGGAGCATCCTAGGTTTTCTAAATTCATGTAGATATGTATATTTTTATAAAGACCCCTATGGCAAAAGAGATTACAATTTTCTAGTTTCTACTTGGCTTAAAGCTCTCTCAAAGTTTACAACTACAACTTAAACTTTGCAAATAACAGTATCAATTCCTTTCTCAAAGAAATGGAAATGTCCTTTTAAATAACTACTAACAATCACCATTCTGCAGACCAAAAAAAAAGTCTAGCCAACCACCGAAATCAAAGAGTTGGAAAAGTAAGCCTTTTGATTCCTCCCCAGCCTGTTCTTCCACCAGCCAGGCCTTCAGAGCTCTATTGCCAGTTCCCTAGTGCTCTAAGAGGCCTTCTCTTTGATTTCTTCAAAGGCAGAAATTTCAGTCATGCTCACTTGTTGGTTTCCTATGAATTTTCATATGAACTACCATCTGTCCTAATAAACTACCACTAAATAGTATTTAAGGTAAAAATTAAATCTTATTTATTCTGAGGAAGCTGGACTAACTTACGACCAAAAAAAGGAAGAGAAAGTGACTAATTATATCACTAATGCTATAATTTATAACAACGAAGGGTA